CTTCCTTTCTTTAGCTTTGGACTTAAAGCAAACCTACAAGATGACAATTAAGTGTTGGTTTTTGGTACCTATAGTTTCTTGGATCATTCTTGGTTAGTTTTGTTAGATCCTTTAGCAATCTAAATCTTTTTAATTCCTGTGTTTATATTATTTTTGAATGGACAAGAAGATATATAATGGCCTTTCTTTCTACAATAATAACAAGTAATATAAGGGTGAGTCATGAGAGGTGCCTTTTCAAAAATTGTATTGAGATTCTTTTGTTTTTTAATAGGGACATATTCAATGCCCGCTTTATCGAAAACACATCTTTGATTTCCAAGAAGCATGTTAAGATTATTTCTACCTTTTACAAAATTTTCAAGTGTTTTTGTTAAATCTTCAATATTGTTTCTTAGAGTAGTTTTCTCATTAGAGATAGTATCAAAATTATTTTTCAAAACAATTTTTTTCTTTCTTTAATTCTTCTACACTAATAGATAAAGATGTAATAGATTTTTTCAACACATTATTTTTGGCACAAACTTTTCTAAATTCATCTTGTAGTTTGTGGAATGCACTTTCAAGTTCTTCATAAAGAATAGTTACCTCATCTTGAGTAGAGTCTTCATCTTCAAGAGTCATGAGATATAAGTTGGCTACTTCATTTTCAATTTCATCACTTGAACTTTCATCTTCACTTTCTCCATAAGTTGCTACCATGGCCTTTTTGTTTCTTTTGTAGTCTTTTCCATGATTCTTCAATTTTGGACAATCCATCTTCATATGTCCAGGATTTTTGCACTCATAGCAAATAATAGGCTCTTTCTTGTTGTCTTTGTTTTGAAAGGTCTTCTTCCTCCATAATTATTTTTCTTGAAGTGCTTTTTGAGAGTTCTACTAAACATGGCATAGCTTTCATCCTCACTGGAGTTTTCATGTTCTTCTTTATTTGATGAGGCTTTGAATGCAATTCCACTTTTCTTTTTGTTTTCAACATCCTCATGTCCTTTCATGGTGATCTCATGAGTTATAAGAGAACCCATAAGCTCATCTAATCCAAGTGTGGAGAGATTTTTGGCTTCTATAATGGCCGTGACCTTTGTTTCCTAATTCTTTGGTAAGCACCTGAGAATTTTTCTCACCAACTCATTGTTAGTATAAGTTTTGCCAAGAGATTTCAAAGAGTTTACAATTTCAGTAAATCTAGTAAACATACTTGACATAGATTCATCAGAGTTCATTTTAAACAATTCATAACTATGAACAAACATATCAATACGAGATTCCTTCATTTAGTTTGTACCTTCATACGTTACCTCAATTTTGTCCCAAATTTTTTTTTATCGAATCACAACTTGATATTCTATTATACTCCTTAGAGTCTAATCCACAAACAAGGGTGAGTTTGGCTTTAGCATTGGCTTGCAATAATTTATGATCCCTCTCATCATATTCATCTTCAGTTTTAGGTACACTAATATTGTCTACTAATTTGGTAGGAATTTTTGGACCATTGGTGACAATAATCCACATGGCATAATCAGTGACTTGTAGGTATAGGGTCATCTTATCCTTCCAATGACTATAGTTGTTTCCATCAAACAATGATGGTCTATTTGTGGCTTGTCCTTCAGCTAAGGTTGCCATGGCTCGAAACTCCCAAATGGTTAAATCTAAAACAAGAGTCTAGGCTCTGATACCAATTGTTACCCAAAAGACAACCTAAGAGGGGGAGGTGAATTAGGTTTTTACAAATAAAAATAATAATACAATAATAAAAATTATAACTAGCACAATAGATAAATATAGTTAATGAAATAAAAATAATTAAAACAAGTGTTCTAACAACTATGTCAGTTAATGATTTTAGCATAGTGAAAATGTGAAATACAGCTATGACAATTTAAATAAAATAAAGAGATAAGGGAGAGAGAGGCAAACAAATTTATAGTAGTTCGGCTTCAACTCGGCCTACGTCCACTCCTCAAGCTTCACTTGAGATTTTTCACTATACTCTAGCTTCACAGGGTGCTAGCAACCTTTTCACAAATGGAGCAATCCTCCACAGATTTTACACAGACTTTCTAAGTTAAGAACACTGAGTGTACTACACTCTTACAAGGTTGAAAAGAAGGTGTTTTTGCTTTCATAGAAAGCTACAAGAGTTATCTCTCAAAGATAGATATAAAAATAAAGCTCTGATTTTTTTTGTAAACCTCACACAGGAAAGATGGGCTTAAAGTTATACGTCTCAGTGTATAATTTTTGAAAGACGATGTAAACAAAAATTGAAAAACACTTCTCAGAGAATTTTTCAGAGAATAGATGTGAGTGATTATAGATCAAAGAATATTTTCTGATTTTTTTGTAACTTGTTTACATTAGAGGCTTTGGTATATATAATGAAACTTGTAGCCGTTTATAGCCATTGTATTCATTTGAATATCTTCCACTCCATCATTACTAATTTGAATATATTCCACTCCATCATTACTAATTTGAATATAATGAACATTTTGGCCTGCTGCTGTGCTGGGCTGTTTGAACCTTTGCTTTGGGCTATTTGAACCACTGGTTTGGGCATTATTTTTGGGTCGAAATGAACTCATGATGTAAGAAAATATTAAATACATTTAAACAATATTTAGGATAAAAGTTTATGTGAGAAATAATGGGACAAAATAAATTTTGATTTTATTTTTCTCTTTCAAATAAATTAAAACATAATTAAATAAATCATCAAAATAAATTTTGGATTCTATTTATCTTTTTCAAATAAATTAAAATATAATTAAATAAATCATCAAAATAAATTTTGGATTCTATTTTTCTCATTCAAATAAATTAAAACATAATTAAATAAATCATCAAAATAAATAAGTCTAACAGGCTATTTTGGTCACAAAAAGACAAAATAGGAAGACAAAATATCATATCCAAATCATAATCATTTCATTTTTTCTCCCACAAAAGTTCAAAAAGCCAAAAAGCCCATCCCAAACTAAAATGGCCAAAAAGCCAAAAAGTCAACCCATATCCCAAGTGAAAGCTTAAAAAATAAAACGAAAAATGAAACAACAATGAGTCATCCACACAAAATGAGCTCCCTTGAACCTCCTAAATGAGTTGGCCACACCGTAACAAAAAAATGAATGATCCACGTGCAGTAGCTCTTCCCTTCCCTCTCTCAAAATTATTTCTATTCTTTGTCATACACTCCCCCTCTCTCTCTCTCTCATCGGTGACCACCATTAACGCCTACATCGTAATCTCCGGCAGGGATCTCAAATGGGTTTACTCTTGTTATCTTAATATTGAAACTTTGATTTACTTTTGATGATGCAGTTTGGTCAGATAAGAGATGGGTCGGACAGGATCCGAATGCTCCACAAGTGGGCTGAACTTCGTCTTCCTAGCAGCACATGCACCAAGTCCGGTAGGAAGGACCCAGGGGTGTAGGGTTTCTTCTTGAGGACCCTTCGATGGTTAAGTTAGATTAGAAAAAAGAGTCAAGAAGTAATTAGAGAGAGTATGTATGTATTGATATCTTTCATACCTGTGTGGCCTCTTGGCTTACCGTGCCCCACTCATGATTGCTTCCTATCTTTGTCTTTTCACGCTGTCCTACTAGCTATAAGTCTATGGCTATCTGTAGCCGGCCATGGCAGCGTCGTCATGTCACAGAAATCACAGAAGAAAATGGGGTGGCTTGTCTCTTCTTTTTGTCTGGTCCCTAAGCCTAAGTTGGGTTAGGAATTATTTGGACGGCCCATTGGACGACCTATTTGGGTTATGCCCATCAGTAGTCCCCCATTCCCGAGTGCAACTTTAGTCCAACGAAGGGAATCAAAAGTGCCCGATTTGTCATGCTCGATTGTGCTTGTAATGCTTGATCCTGATTTGGCACACTACTTGATCTATTGCTTGATTTAATGTGACAGCGCTTGGTCAAAATAATGCACGTTACGTGTGCTTAGTAAAATAAGGTTGTTGATTTGTTGGGCTTTATTATACTAACAATTTAGTTCCACTCGAGGTAGTAATTAATTTTTGGGTGGAGCTTATGCAAGACTTTTGTTTGGTTGTTTAAAAATAATTCACGTGAATTTTCTTTTTGATATTTGTTGTATTATGATCACTAAGGGACTTGCTAACATTCTGATTGTTGACTGCTTTGCTTGGTTGGTTTTTATGTCTTTTTCCAAAATTCAATACTTATCTCCACTGTTTGGAATTACTGAATTGACATGGCCCCACCAATTTATTTGTTGAATGGCATGCTTGATTGATGTTTTGTCAAGTAGTCCATAAAAACTCTTCTTGTTCTCAGATTTCAAGAGACCCACTACGATAATCTTTTGAATCACAGTGACTTATTTAGAGAGAGAGAAGCAAAATTGTTTCACTTTCTCTCGCTATATCTATAAACCCAGAAGCCTACGATTTTCCTGGGTTTGGTTTTGGGTGTGGAGAGAGAGAAGAAGCTGTTGAGTGTGATGTTGTTGACGGAGGCCATTTTTGGGAAGGAATGGAGGAGCGAGTGAGTCATGAGTGATCATCTTGGTTTCTCTCTCTTTCTCTCTCTCTCTCTCTCTCTCTCTCTCTCTGTGTTTTCAATCTCTACTCATCATTCACTAGTTCATGTGGTCTTAAAGGGCTGTTAATGGTGCGCTATAGTTTTCCTAGAGATTCATGCTAACGATGATGATGAAGAAAAACTGAAGAGTATCGATTTCTCATGATTTTTTCAAGATGGATTTAGTTGACCCGACAGAGGTGACTCCAACTAAGAGCAGATTAACGCGTATTTTGCTAAAGTTTTGCATATTTGAGCTGTCGCTGGTATAGCTCAAGTTGATGGAATTTAGAAAAGAAAAGGTCAAGTATGATAGCATATGCCCAGTTACAATTTGCTTAGTCTCCGTTTGATGTTAATGGGATTCAAGTTTTTGATCAGATGGTGGTTTTCCACATGGGGGGCGATATTCCACTTGGTGGTCTTCCACATAGTCTTCCACTTAGCGGTCTTTTTCATGGTCTTCTACATGGTGGTCTTCTGCATAGTGGTCTTCTGCATGGTGGTCCTTCACATGGTGGTCTTCCACATGGCAATCTTCCACATAGTCTTCCACTTGGCTATCTTCCGCATGGACTTTCACATGGTGATCTTTCATATGGTGGTCTTTAACATGGCGGTCTTTCACATGGTGGTCTTTTGTAAGGTGGTCTTCTCTATGGCGGTCTTTGACATGGTCTTTCACTTGGTGGTCTTCCGCATGGTCTTCTATATGGTGGTCTTTTGCATGACGGTCTTCCACATGGTCTTCCATTTGGCAGTCTTTTACATGGTAGTCTTCCATATGGCGGTCTTCCATATGGTTTTCTACTTAGCGATCTTCTACATGGTCTTCTACATAATGGTCTTTTTCATGACGGTCTTCTACATGAAAGGCATTTCCTTTGAAATGCTATAGAGCAAATAGCAGATTGATGTGTATTAGTGCTTGGTTCCACTTTATGATGTTGACCCCCTTTGTTTGTTCTTGTATTCATCTTGGAGGAGTGTTTATCTGTTACTTCTTAGTCTTCAAGATCGCAAGTTCGTATACCCCGGATGGGTGCCTTGGACGGTCAACTGATGGATTAGCTCTTACCGTAAGGTTTGACTTAGTTTAGCTGAGGCCTTAGACAGTTGGCTGGTGTTTGGCTCTTATCGCAAGGTTTGATTTAGTCTGGCTGAGGCCTTGGATGGTCGGCTGGTGTTTGGCTCTTACCGCAAGGTTTGACTTAGTCTGGTTGAGGCCTTGAATGGTCAGCTGGTGTTTGTTTTTGTCATGGCTTGTGGATGCAAAATAATGATCAGATTATAGTAGTCTCTTTTTATTGATGATGAGATCTGCTTAAATTTAGCTTATACATAATGTTTTGACAATAATTAGGTTGAAATTAGCACTTAACATAAGTAGCAAACTAAAGAATTGAAAGTGAGGATAGCACATAAAACAAAAATGAAATGGAACTGGACAAAATAAAATTGGACCTCTACTGAAAATATCTCCTAAGGTGCTTGGCATGAAGAAGGTTTATATTTGGATTGATCTCGCTTGTCAGAAGAGCTTTTTAAGGGTTTGGGCCATTTCAAGTTATAATCATGTTGGATCTGGTGTAAGACTTGCTCTATGGAGGAATTTAAGGGAGTGTATTGCTCGAACTGGCTGGTTGAGCGAGCTGGAGCCAATCGGCCAGAGCATGGGGGTCGGTCGAAGTAGTAGGTGGATCGATTAGGATATTGGTTATGTTCTGGTTTAGGCTCTTTTCTTTTATCTTCGGCTAGTGAGGGTTTGGGCATGGAGTCTTGACAAACTTCCATAAAGTCTTCAACATTAATGTATTTCTGAGCTTTGGCTAAGAGGGCTATCATAGAGCTCAAAGGATTTTTAGAGAGAGAGAATAAGAAGTTTGAGGAGCATAGACCAACCATAAATGCTGCTAAGATGACCTTGTCATCATTCTTTTCAATTTGCAGGGCCTTAGTATTGAAGCGAGTTACATAGCTACACAAGGACTCACCCTCAGTCTGTCTGATGTTTAGCAACAGAGTTGCTGGGCGCCGTTGGTGTTCAACACCGATGAAGTGGCCCAAAAAGTGTTCGCTCAACTAGTCAAAAGAGGTGACTGAATCAGGCTTAAGCTAACTAAACCATAGTTGTGCGGACCCCTTGAGTGTAACAGGAAAAGCGTGACACATGATCTTATTGGGGAAGACATGGAAGATCATGAGTGTTTATTAGGTTTCAAGATGGTCAATTGGGTCGGTCGTGCCATCAAATGTATCTATGAAGGGAATTTTACACTTTGAAGGTAAAGGCTTATCTCTGATGGAAGCAGCAAAGGGAGAATTGGTAGTTTGGACAAGATTATCAACAACCAAGGAGGTCTTATTTTGCATGTTCTCCACTATCCCTTGTAGTTGGAGTTTGACAGCTGGCAATTCCTCGTCCTATTTGGGATATTTTCTCATCTGACATGAGGAGGTTGGACATTGCTAGCTTTTCCTTCATTGGTGACAGTGTTTTGTTGTTGTCGATGGTGGTTTTGGAAGGGTTGAAGGTCATTTCGGTTGAGTTGCAAACCTTGAGGAGGGCTAGGTAGGCCATTTGGATTTGGTAGGGGTTCTCGCTGGGCAAGTGGTGATAGGAGTGGTCCTTCTTGTTGCTGAGGATGGTTGTCTTAGACTTGGTCTTGGTTTTGAGGAATTTCTTGTGGTGGTGGGGATAGAGGAGCTACTAGCTTATGTTGAAGTAAGGCGTGGATTAAGGCATGGTTTTGTTTAGCCAAGCGGTTAATGCTATTGGTAAGCTTGGTGAAGTACTGAGGTGGGTTGTTTGGGTGGGATGGCTCGGCTTGAGGATTTCTAGTGGTGTGCTGTGAAGCCATGGATCGTGTCATAACCATTCACTTCGACACTGAAGATGGGTGATAAGGAAACCATTTCCGGCAATAATGAACACAACTGTCAACCGAAAATTTTTCCACATACAACTGTAAATACCCCATTTTTGACCGTTTTCAAGACTTGGATGTCATCATTGGTGCACACGATGATTGTGATTGTTTGTGCTCATTTTGGTGCTCGAAGTCCTCGGCGGAATGCCCTGTATTTGAGCCTTCAAACCCCCATCCATTCTGTGCCCTGTTTTGGACTAACATCCTCTAGCTTGCAACCCTTGGTGGCTACCGGCCACCAATTGAGGTTGCCGACCACCCAAGTGGCCTGCCGGCCATTGATGACTTTTTTTGCAAATATTTTCTTAACAGCTGTTCCAGCTATTGGCACAATCAGCTTGATCACCATACACGTGTATGGATTGATATAACTCAGCCAAAAGCTTGTTTTTCTATAAATATGGGACCTTCTCCCCCATTGAAAAGGGTTAGAAATTTTGGAACAAAATTCTCTCTTTCTCTCTACATTTCTCTCTCTCTCTTGAACTTTTGTGCATACAAGTGTTGATACACTTCAAGTTTGCCTATCAACCCTTAATCAAACTTGACCACCTTTGAGCTGAGGTCCTTATAAGCCTTCTTGGAGCTTTAGAAGGTGTTTTTGAGTTGACTTTGTACCTAGAATTGTTGCTTGCTTCAAGAGGTATAGCACTCCCCTTTTACACTTGTTTTGCATGCTTGTTTTTTCCATTTCTTTCAACTATTTTGGGCCTGATTTTGAACTATAAAAACTCTATTTTTGTGGCCTAAAGGTGGTGGTTTGAGGCCATTTTTAGTTAGGGGGTGGTTCACTCTTCTTATTTCTTTGTGTGTAAAGTTTTTGTGTATTTGTTCATCACTTTCAAACCAACTTTTTTGGTCCTTTAAACCACTGAATTTCAAAGGTTTTTCAGTGGCAAAAAACTCATTTTAAAGTCCAAATTTGGAGGGGTTATCCTTCATTCCTTGTGTCTTGTTTGCATGCCTAGTTAGCTTCATATATTAGCATGCTTTTATAGCTTAACTTAGCTCAAGTCCAGCATGTTTTTGCCTCTAAAATAGCCTGCTTTAGCTCTATTTTGGGCTGTTTGGGTCGATTGAGTCTTCTTTTGCATGGTTATAGTGTAATAGTCCTCACAAGTTGGTGTTTTAGGGTCTTAGACACCTTTTGTTTGAGTTGATAGCATCTTTTGGTATTGTTTTTCACTCCATTTCAGCACTATAAACTCTGCAACCTCCCTCTTTGCTTCACTATTTCATTTGCTTTTGATGGTCATTTCAAGTTTGGGATCCTTTAAGCTTGAGATTGAGGTTATGCTTAATGGTTTAATCCTCTTTGAGGGTTCATTATCAACGGCATGATCTCTCTCTTGCCTTACATTATCTCTTGGTCGTGTTTCATCTTAGGGGGATATTCACCAAAGGACAAATCGATTAAAGGATGATTTGCTAAGTAAAATGTGTAAACAAAATTGGCGAGTAAAAGTGGCAAGATAAGCATTTTTTGTGTTGCATTGCATGTGTTCAAATCTGATGTTAATTTGAACACAAGGAAAATGGGACATTTCATACTAAAAAGTGATGAAATGTGCCACTTTCCTAGGTCTTCATTACCCTTGATCATGCATGATAGGGTGATGGCACTTAAGTCTTGTTTTACACTCATTAAACTTGTACAATTTGGTCCCTTAGCCATCATACATGGAAATTGCTTGATTAATGGTTTAAGGGCTAAATGTATCTCTCATTTGAGCTTGTGTTGATGATAAGGGGTGATACATAGTGCAAACAACCTGTGAGAATGCCTCTTCTTTGCCCTATTTGCTATCTGTTACAGTAAGAACAGGAGCATCACCAGTGGCCGGCCAGCCATTGCCACTGGCCGGCAGGCCACCACTGTTGGACAGCACCCCTTGCTGGTGGCCGGTCGGCCACCACTTCTGGCCTGCCGGCCACCAACGAAAATTTGGCAGAAAACTTGTCAAGCAAAGCAGAGTTGATCTGGAGAAGGAAAACCAGTGCATAGGGTGTGTAATAGAGGCAATTGGAAGCAAAACATCGGGCATTCTTCGAGTGGAAAATGAGCATGCATTGGGCTTCCCTCGTCTCCCAGGACTATTTGTTTAAATTGATTAGTTAGTTAGTTATAGCTAAATAATTAATGTTGTAATTATTTAATTTGAGTAGCTAATTAATTCATATTGTAATCAATTAGCTTAGTTGCTTTGTAATTAATTAGTTAAGTATTTAGCTAATTAGTTTGTTTTGTAATATTTAATTAACTTAGATAGTTAATTATTTAATTGTTTTACTTAATTAGCTTAGAATAGTTAGTTAATTAATTCAAGTTTTGTAATAATTAGCTTAATTAGTTTAGTTTAGCTAGTTAGCTAGCTTTATTCATTCGGACCCTTCTTCGCGAGGGCGTAATGTTGTAATAAGTGTGCGTGCGTGTGTATATGTCTCGCAACCCTACGTCTTTCTCTTTTTTATTTAACCGCTTTTGATGGTTAGTTTAGGAGTATCATGTTTCAATTAGCATATCTTATGCTTGCACACATTCATCTTGTATTACATGCACTGAGGCTCGGCGCATCATTCAAACTACATTATAATTTCAATATCTTATTTGAATACGTGTTTAATCGCATGTTGTTTAAATTGCTTCATATGCCATATTAGTAGCCGAGCCAATTAATTGCATATTGCATGTGTTACATTAGGCATCTTATATAGTTAGGGATCATGCATATTTTTCTAACTCATATTTTCTTGGCTTGGAGTACTAGGTGAGTTTTTATGCTTTAGCATACTCGCATAAATATGAATGTTGCCATGTCTAGCATGCTTGTCATGAGGCTAAATGATTATTTGATAAACTGTTTGAAAT